TCCATGATTTCAAATCGGATGCCGGAGTAGCCCTGGAGGAGGGTGTTGATTCTGACCAACATGGCGGCTCTTGTGGTGGATTGCGGCAGCGTGTGCTCTGATTCCGCTCCGGTGCCAAAGATTCCGGCGTTCAAGAATCTGATTAAATGGCAAAATTAAAATAAATAAATTAATTCCCCACGATCACAGAATGTTTAATGTTAAAGCAACAAACGTCCACGCCGTTTTGTTATGATTCAGTAGCAACATTCTCAATTATTGCTATTATTATAAAAGCAATAGCAAGTATGTACATGTTATAAAGGATTTGATAAAAACCGTTAAAAAAACATTTTTTATACATGAAATATTGTTTATTAATATATATTATTTAAAATTTAATATTACAAGTGAATTATGTATAAATACAATTTATTAAGCTTCATATTTGAATTCGTGTAACTAGTTGTAAATAAATATAATCAAATAGAGGATAAATATCTTATTTTAAAAAATAAAAATTTTAAAATATAATTAAGATAATCATTGACTTCTAACACAAAAATACGTGATCATTATTTTTATATAAAATATATTATTAAACGAAAAATAAAAAAAATTAAATTAAAGAAATACACAAAAAAATATAAATTTTAAATAGTCTGGTACTATTATCAATATTTTTTTTTTTGGGAAAATGATAAAACTAACCACTTTATACAATCCTCTTCCACAAAATAACCATTTTTTAGGGGATTTACAAAACTAACCACACGAATCGCCCCCGGGGGCGATCCGTACATTTCGGGTTAAAACTCGTACGCATATTTACGTATCTTCACGTATGTATGTATGTATGTATGTATGTATGTATGTATGTATGTATGTATGTATGTGTACGGATGTATATACGTATATATATATACCTACTTACATTTACGTAAAAAAAATAATATAAATTGCGGTAACGTGTATATATATATATATATATATATATATATATATAGAGAGAGAGAGAGAGAGAGAGAGATGCATAATGTAAAAAAAACGATATAAATTGCGGTAACGTATATATATATATATAGAGAGATGCATAATGTAAAAAAAACGATATAAATTGCGGTAACGTATATATATATATATATTGTGGTAACGTATATATATAGATGCATAATGTAAAAAAAACGATATAAATTGCGGTAACATATATATATATATATAGAGAGATGCATAACGTAAAAAAAACGATATAAATTGCGGTAACATTTATATATATATATATATATAGACATTGCATTACGTAAAAAAAACGATATAAACGGTACAAAAATTGAAACTTTGTATTTTAACGTATATATGTGTACGAGTTTTAACACGCATGCATATTTACGTATATTCACGTACGTTTTACGTACATATTTTTAACGTATATATGCGTACGGGCTTTAACCGTCAATTCGAAGATACACACAAACATCATCACTTTGATGTGATTTCATGTTTTGTGATGGTTGATTGTGTTTAATGGGTTAAAGGTTGTGAGAGTATAATATATGAGAAGATAAATGAAATGGAATGTGTGAAAAATTATGAAATAGGAGGTTGGTATTTATAGTGAAATTGGTATTAAAAAAAAATACTTAAAGCCTGAATCTCCTCCGGGGACGATCCGATGATGTGGCTCGCCCAAAGTGGAAAAAAAAGAAATTTTAAATTTTTTTTTTTAAGAAAAAAGCCGGATCGCCCCCCACTAGTACGGATCGCCCCCGGTGTGGTTAATTTTGTAAAATCTCTAAAAACTGGTTATTTTGTGTAAGAGGGTTGTATAAAGTGATTAGTTTTGTTATTTTCTTTTTTTTTTCTTCAGTTTTTTATGATATCTTCATATTTATATTTTATTCAAAGATAAAAACATTATCATTTTCTTAAAACTACATAAAACCATATTATAACATCGACTGAAACAAAAAGAATTATAACGAAACATAAAAATCGAGATGTATTTCGTTACATTGTGTGAGTACCCTTCTAGTTATATATAAATATATAATTCAATTGTATAATAAAACATGTTAGAGTTTTTAATATTCCTAATATTATCTTTCATATTTTATGTGTTAATAATTATTATTTTTGTTTAATTTAAATATAATTCATCAATATTTAATACCACAAGGATTTTAGTTGACCAAGCCCACCTACCACATTAGAAATAGTCCACCAAATTTAATTTACTCAACAACAATGAGCGAATCGTTTATTATAAAACTATATGTGATTTCCATTTTTTTTATTTTGGTTGTCTTTCTTGTTTAAACTAGTCTATATAGAAAGGATCAAACGAGAATATAAACTAAATAATAGAATACAAAAACGGTCAAATTACGTTGACAGACGAAAAAAGATATACATGCGACTTTGGCCGCGACCTATTCACATATGATTTTGTACGTGATGTTAATATAAAATCACATGTGATTAGACATTTTTCTTATTCCCTTGTTTAGCTACTGTTTGTTCATTCTCTCTTTCTCTGTAAATATATATATATATATATATACACACACGTATATATATATATATAGTTACGTAAAGTTTCTAGGTATACCGTGGTCGATCCTCATGGCTCACGAGCATGACGCTTAACGACAATAGCTAGTATGTTGTGTCACTCAACTATACATGATAAAACACCATTTATGTAATGACTACTTGGAGACCAATGACATTCACTACAACAAAATTGGGTTTATAGGACACCCCCAATCTCTAAGTGTCTCAATAAACCGCTTTATAGGACTTAATTTATGGGACCAAAATATAAAGTGTCCTATCTAAAGGTGTTGTAATAAGTTTATACAACACTTTTGAGCGTCTTAACAAGTTTTTAAGGACATTTTTAATACAAAGTGTCGCATTAGCAACTTTATAGGACACTTTTGAGAAATTGTCCTATAAACTCAATTTTTTATAGGACACTTGTTTTTGTAGGACATTTTTTCAAATAGTGTCCTATAAAGTTGATAATGAGATGCTTTATATTAAAAGTGTCCTAAAAAACTTATTACGACATCAAAAAATGTCATATAAACTTAATACAACACCATTAGTTAGGACACTTTATTTTTTTGGTCCTATAAACTAAGTCATATAAAAAGGTCTATTAAAACACTTACAATTTGGGAGTGCCCTATAAACCCTATTTTGTTGTAGTGATTGACAGTAATCTATCCTAACATAACCTCTACACAAAAGAAAATAGTCGTAATAAGGTGTTTTTTATGCATGCTTAATTATGGTATATATATATATATATATATATATATGTATGTATATGTGTGTGTATATATATACAATAATAATGCTTGGTTTTATCAAATAAATTCGAGACCATCTTCATTGCATGAAAGCTGTCTTTTAAGCTTTTTAATGGGCCAAAATATATATCTTAAAAACATCGTTTTGTTTATTTGAAAGAAAATGGAATTAATTATGCATTTGTTTATTTATATTGATATTTTAAATAATATACCTAATGAGTTCCTGTTGAAGAGCACCACCTTCCTTGGTTCTCCGGTGAGAGGTGGCACCGAAACCGGTKGTGACACCGTAGSTGTCTCCTCCTTTCTTCATGCTRTCCATAACCCAMTCACTGCTGGCTGTAACTCCGGCACGAGCGGATTCCGACAGCTGAACCTGAACGTTGGTGGTGGCGACCGCGGCTACCTGGGCAATAGTCAGCGTCTCGCCACCCAACCTCACCACTGTATTCCGATACTCCCCGACCATTCTCTTCACCTCCTCCAGGTGGCTTCCGCTTAACGCCGCCGCAGCGACACCCCAATTCARTGGGTCCGTCRTATCATGATTGATGTTGGCATGTCCATTGGTACATTGATCCATTTTTTTTATTTTGTTGGTAGGAAATTATGAAGCTATAAATTTCCTGAGATGATGCGTAGGAGATGAAGCCGTTTAAATAGAAAGCTTATCGGTTGCCCATTTAGTATTAGGTTTGGCAGGCCGATGTGTTAGTTGGAAAACGGTGGTGGCCGTCCGATTGGTCATGGAAATCGATGGAAAGGATCATGCCACGTCGATGGTTGCAATGGAGACAAAGAAAAGGTTTAGAGACTTGTTTGACAACACAAACTAATATTTTTGTATTTCTTTTTTATATTTCTTTTCAAAGAATTATTATAGTTTTAGCATATATAAGAGTAGGTTTTAAATGGGAGAAATACTACGGGGTGTTTGGATTTTTATTTGAAACAATTTTTTTTATAAAATTATTTATCAATTTATTATTATAAGTCAGAAGTGTTTAACTTCTTCAAAAAAATTTTATTACCGGTTTGACACCAGTATATGTTATTTATCCAAACACTAAAAAGTGCTTATTATCGGTGACACACCAGAATAAGCCAATAAATTATTTTTATAAGCAATCTCAAACATTCCCTAAATAAGAAACTATGGAGTAAATTATGGATTTGGTTTGTTGTGGTTATACTTTTGTTACAGATCGGGTCCTTTGACTTAACTTTTTTACTCTAAACTTGTAACAAATTGGATCCTTTGACCTAACTCTTTGCATATTAACAACCATATATTACTTTGTTTAAAACATAATTCATTCTTGAAAAAAAAAATATGACTTTTAAGCAGCTGTTTACAAAATGTTTACTTGGTAAGTGGTTACTCGATAAATTTTTTCATCGGAAGAACATGATAAAGGCCAAGAATCTTACTGAGTAAGAGCGATGAGAAAGATGGAGAGTCTTACCCAGTAAGTGAAGATGACGACTCTTACTCAAGTAAGCATTTACCCTGAAAATTGTTGCATTCGATATGTTTTGATGTACTAAAATCTTACACATCGAAATAAATTATAGTACTAACTTCTATCGGTAAACACTTACCGGATAAGCATTTAAGTAAACAACCCTGTCATTCGTATGCTTCATTTTCAGTTAACTTAATGATATTTCATATATAAACTATTGACTTCATTTTCAATTAGCTAGGGTTCTTAATATGTTTAATGATAGTGCAATAAACATAGTGGGTGACATTCGTTAAATAAATGACATGGACTAGAATTGTCATTGGTTTGGATATTTTAACCAAATGTCAAGTCCATTAATTATATATATTTTTCTAACTGTTAACATGCATATTGAATGATTTATTTTTGGAAGCATATTTTTGTTTATAAATAACGATGAATTTTCGCAATGGATTAATGAGACATGGCTTTTAGAGACGGATTTTCCCGTCAGTGTTGCCCATGTGTTCTTTTAGTAAAGACATTAGAATAGATTGCTAGGACAAAGTTAATCAAACTAACAAGTTATATCTTTATGAAACTAACTAATAGTGTTTAATAAGTAAATATTCTTAATTATTAAGCTTTTTATTAATTAAGCACTTCTTGTAAAGCGTTTTATGAGACTTTTTAGTACATATTTACATAAGACTATCGTCAAGAAATGTCTTATAAAATGACTAATAGGACTATTTACCTCTTGATATGTTGTCTAACAACATCATAACGACTTATTGTTTTACAAAGATAAAACATTTTTACGTTTTTAAGTCGTAATTTCATATATTCGTGTAGTTGTTAGTCTTATAAACCGTCTTAAGTAATAAGACGTATGATTCTTTAAGACGGTGGAACAGACGAATCTGATTATWGTAAGCCCTGAATTTAGGGTAAAAATGCAACAGAAAAAGTCATGAAAACATAGTTTAAGTAGGAAAAGCATCGTAAAGAAAGGGAAAGAGAAGAATAGTGTGGGTGGTTGGTGAGACGGAGAGGTGGTAGATGAAACGACAACATCACTCCTTCATCCTTTATCCATAAACTTTAATTAAATAAATCATTCTCATGGCTTCTTCATCTCCCATCCTTTTCCCACCAAATTTTTTTGATGTGGATATGGAGTTGGGGGTTGGTGAGAGTGGGGTGGAGTCGTGGTTTAAGCCCTACTCAAATTATGAAACTACCCTTGTGTCGATTGTTTTTTTTTATTAACCTGAATATCCAATTCGAGCCGACTAGACGATCACCTGCTTTCCTTTGTAGATAGTTCGAAATCACCGCATTTAAACCTCTGTGGTCACAAGTGGATTTTTATTTCTCATTGTATTTGAACATGGACCTCCTGGTACTTTTGTTTTGTTTTCATAAATAAGAAAAGTCTATGATAGAAAACTCACTTCTGATAATCATTCTTGAAAAAATAAACGGATCGTTTATCATTGTTAAAATTAATAGGCGGATAGATAATAACAACTTGTTTATATTTTAGTTCACGGGATTTTATGTATAATTAATACTTTAATTTTTATAAAAAAATTGATATAGAAATCTGCTAGGTCGGATATGGGCTAGACTTCGACTCGGCCTTGAAATACTAGTTACATAGTGAAATATCTCATACTCCATATTTCATAGAAACTAATTTTTGAAAGTTATTTACATTGTTATATTTTAACGTCTTATTTAGGTTGGAAAATATGTCTTTAAATGATTTTACATAAGTTTTGGCTTTTTTTAATGTAAAAGCGTTTTTAGTCTATGCGGTAGACCGATCCGTCTATAGTACGAGTACGGATAAGTTATCAAGTTTGCAAATCAGACTTGAGCTTGCTAAAATAACTCCATTAGACAAAAATAGAGTTAAGACCCGAAACCGGAACTCAATTGAAGCTTGCAAATAATCATATGTACACCTTTGAGGCGGTGTTTGGTGTACAGGCGTGATTARAAACATGACATAACTTGACAGGAATTGGCAGGACAAGAAGATAGRACTGGATGAKATTGGACTTGACAGAAKAAATGTCTTTTTGGTGTTTGRTACGACCAGGATTRGACATRACATAACTAGACAAGTTGTCTTCAAAAATTATTTGATGATTTTACATATCATATAATAGTTATAGCTAGTACAAACAAAGCAAATTATTATATGATTTAATTTATGAACATTTTTACAAAATTTTCATATACATTAATATATACATATACAGTAGTTTTGTATGAAAAAATTGATATAATTTATAGTAGTTTGAAAAACACGATTCGTGCAAAAGAGAAATTATGTTTTATTCGGTTTGGAAGATCTTTGTCAATTGRAGAAGGCAAAGTGAAGACTGTTGTAGCAAYAATGGTTGTGGAGGTAGAGCTATTGGTGATTGGTGGAGGATGGTGGCTACGGAGGACGTGAAGATGCTGGAAGTGGTGGTGGTGGCAATCTATAGTGGAGGAGGAGGTAGTTGTGGCAGATGTGGTGGAGGTAGTGGCAGATGTGGTGGAGGTARTGGTGGTGGTGGGTAGCRGTGGTGGTAGCCAGTGGTCAATAGTTGTGGAGGTGACGATGAACAGTGATGGTGGTCGGTGGTGGAGGAGGTTGTTGTAGTGGAGGAAGAGGTGGAGGTGGTCGACGGTGGCTAGCGGTGGCGGCGGCCATCGCGACTTGCGGTGTTGGCCACTAAAACAAATATCATATTAAGATTATATATCAAACGAGGGTTAATTAGTAATATTTTAGTTTTTATTTCATCTTTTTCCACCTATTTTTTGGAATAAAAAAAAACTTTTTTTGTTTCATACTGTCACACCTTGTCCCAGTTCTTATCCCTATCTCATGTCGTACCAAAAGTGTGACAATGAGTTATTGTCCTGTCCTATATCACGTCAAATATAGACGATGAGTTTTGTCTATGTACCAAAATCAGTTTAAAAAATATTTGTTAGAAGAAAGTTGCTAAATTTGGAAATTCTCACCAATATTTTTTGAAAGTTGGGTGGTTGGATGGGTTGCTAAATATTGGATGGGTCCTAGCTTAATTGGATTACACATAAGCATAAATGTTCCACTTAATTTGTTAGATATTAATATTTAGATACAGTAACAAGATATTTAATTTGCTTTTCTTATAAACATTTACAAATTAAGTATTGCTTATAATCGTAGAAAATTGTGATGAAACTATTATTTAATAGTATGTTAAATTATTCATTTCATTTTTTTATACCCGTAATTTTCATATCTTAGAACGTGTATATTTAGATTTCGGTTGTATATTTGATATAACGAGGATGTATATGTTTTCTAAATCAGGTCTGGTGGCGAGATCCTACCATAGTGGCTGGGTTGGACCTACGAAGGCTTCAGGATGGTGTTGTGCACCTGTTCAATTGATTTTCGTAGGTAGAATTTTCTTTGGGGTATGAAAGGTGCATACGTTAAATTTTGAAGGATGCTCCTGGATATGAGAAAATATAGGGGCCGTCAACTAAAAACCGAAAGTGTCCAACGAAATCAACCAAAAAGCCGGGAGAAGTCTCTTGAAATCAACAAAAAAGGGAAAAAAGTCTCAAATATTCAACCAAAAAACTTAAAAAATCTCTCGACGCGGAGGAATTTAATTAAATACACATCAAACGACTTTGTAGGCCTTTAATCCACCTTGAAGGTGCACGGTACACCCACTCGGAAAAAAATCTTAGGTCTACCACTGCATAGTGGTTGTAAATAGTGTGTCGAACAATGCTTCTGAAACTCATCCTTCGACCTTCATCATTTTGTATCATATCGTTTTTATAATTCCGTAGTCAACCATACTTCAGGGATGCTATTAATTGGCTTTCYAATAAATTGYTACTCTTGAAGCCATTGGATGTAGGGTACAATTATGTTTGTTGTTTTATTTGAAATTAACTGGGCAAAACAGATAGATATGTGTTTTTCTGATGGAGAATACTTTCTAATTCAAGTTGAATTATTTAACTATTACAGAATAAAGAAAGAAATCAAACAACATATATGCAACTTCAAATTTTCTTGATTCCCAGACATATAACAAATCGATCTGTTGTTATAGAATTCTTCTACGGT